GTAGCCCTTGCTGGCCTGGATTCACTATGGAGACCAGGCGGGCCTCGAACTCACAGAGATCCGCCTGCCTCTGCATCCCGAGTGCTAGGATTAAAGACATGAGCCACCACGCCCGGCTAGAACCTACATTTTTTAAAAAGCCAGGCATTCTTGTAACCCTGACACTGAGAAGCACAGACAGGTGGCTAGCCAGCCAGACCAGCCTAGTTGGCAAACTGCACATGCGGAGATGAGGGCAACTTGGAGTCAGTTTTCCTTCCACCATGTGTGTTCTAGGGATTGACCTTGGGTTGTCACACTTGGCAGCAAGTACCTTTACCCTCTGAAATCTCCCTAATAGATGTTTTAAAGATTTACTTCTATATTATTTTCATGTGTATGTGTGTGCCTGCTTGAGTTTATGTGCACTGTGAGTGCAGGTGCCCACAGAGGCCAGAAGAGGATGTTTGAGCCCCTGGAACTAGAGTTACAAGTGATTTTGAACTGCCATGTGGGTGCTGGGAACCAAACTAAGGTCCTCTGCAAGAGCAATAAGCACTCTTTAAAAAAAAAAATTTATGTGTATGAGTATTGCCTACATGTAGGTAGTTGAACTCATGTCGTGCAATGCCCGCATAGTTCAGAAGAGGGCGTTGGATCCCTTGGAACTGGAGTTACGAACGGTTGTCAGCTGCCATGTGGGTGCTGGGAATTGAACTCAGGTTCCTTGCAAGAGCAGCTAGTGCTCTTAATGGCTGAGCCATCTTTCCAACCCCTGTGAGTAGTAGCACTCCTAACTGCTGAGTCATCTCTCCTGCCTGTCTGTTTTAACAGGAAAATTAACTTTTGTTTAAGAATTAATGCATAGTTGGGCATGGTGGTGTAGGCCTATAATCCCAACTGGGAAGCTGAGACAAGAGGAACAGGAGTTCTAGACTAGCTTGACTGTATCTCAAAAAAAGAAAGGAAAGGAAAGGAAAGGAAAGGGGAAACAAAGTGGGAAAGGAAAATGTGAATAACTTTTACAGTATTTGCAGGAAATCGTTTTAGGTTAGTCATCTAAAAATAAAGGAATTTAGTTTTCTGAGCTGCTCAGTGGTTAAGAGCACTTACTGTTCTTCCAGAGGAGCCTGGTGCTCTTCTCAGCACCCATATGGTGGCTCACAAATGCCTGTAACTCCAGCTCCAGGAGATCCGATGCCCTCTTCTGCCTTCTATGGGCACCTGCACGAATGTGCACATATACATACACATACATGTACACAGGTGCAAAGTTTAAAAAAAAAAACTCAGCCTTTTCATTGGTAAGAACCTTGAAGTAACAAGCTTATTTTATCTTCTCAAGAAAATGTCACGTATCTAAATCTGCATAGTTATAATTCATCATTGGTAAGTAAAAATGGTGTTCTTGTAATAAAAGCTGGCTCATCTTGCAACCAGTCACATAAGCCTGCTGTTTCCTCCAGAGAGCATCTGCTGGCGTGCACAAGTGCCTTTGTCTGTTCTTATTTTGCCACATAAAATATGTAAATGATATGTATATATACAAGAACTAAGATTGTACAAAATGAGTAATCTTTGCTACCTCCTAAACATTTTTGTTTTGAAATCGGTCTCTTAGTCTGACTGGCCTGGAACTTGCTTTGTAGCCCAGGCTGGCCTTGAACTTGCTTCCTTCTGCCTCTCTGTTTCTAGTGTTGGGATTACAGGTGTATGCACCTGGCTGAGAACACTTTTAATTGAAACTGTCTTTTTCACCTATACTTTGAGTGTGTGGTACTGAGGACTGCTATGAGTAGTGGTATATTTCAGTGCTGCTTACTGTCTTGCTTGACTCCTGTTAAAGCACCAGCAGTGTCCACCTACTGCTGCTTTTATGTTGTTGGTGCAGGTGTTGACATGGTGCATAATTAGGAAAATACTTTTGGCCTCACCAATTTTCAGAGAGGGACATCTAAGTTTCTGCCCCTCACAGAAGAGAATGCTATAGTGCAGATGATATAGGATAGCTTTGCTTAAAACAACAAAAGACACCCCTAAACAAAAAACCCACCTCATTTAATTCTCTAGGCAAGACTGAATTGTAACTTGTTTTGTGTTTTTTAACCTATGATTCTTACAGTAATTTTATTCTTGTCTTTGAAACAGAAAAATATGCCAGTTTCCAACAAAAGTTTGCATGAGAGTACATGCTTGGATTTCTGTGCTTCTTTCTTTTAAATGGCATACCATTTAGTATTTGTGGGCTCAAAGTAAAGAGCTCATTCTGTTTCAGACACTGAGCAGTTTTGTTTTTGACATCTAGTAGTCAGCTCTCTGTTTACAACAATCGTTGGCTCCTTTGGCTCAACTTGCAGTTGTCCTGGTCCTAACCCTGACTTAGCCAAATGCTGTTGATGGAAAGCCATCACAAAAGGCCTTATATACAGGGTGCCCTACTAAAGTAGTGTGTTCTTGTCCCAGCGGAGTAAATCTGCTTTAGTATGCATTCCCTTCCCAAATTTTAGTAAGAGATCACATGTGAAGACAGTATCTTGTAATTACTGTAGAGTCCTAATAGAGGGGATTGCCAGAATTAAATGTTTCTTTCTCTGTGGTAGGATGTGATGGAGCTGCTTGAAGAAGACCTCACATGCCCAATTTGTTGCAGTTTGTTTGATGATCCCAGAGTTTTGCCCTGCTCACACAACTTCTGCAAAAAATGCTTAGAAGGCCTCTTAGAGGGGAATGTGCGGAATTCATTGTGGAGACCATCTCCATTCAAGTGTCCTACCTGCCGTAAGGAAACTTCAGCTACTGGAGTCAATAGCCTGCAGGTTAATTACTCCCTAAAGGGTATTGTGGAGAAGTATAATAAAATCAAGATCTCTCCCAAAATGCCAGTGTGCAAAGGACACTTGGGACAGCCTCTCAACATTTTCTGTGTAACTGATATGCAGCTGATTTGTGGGATCTGTGCTACTCGTGGTGACCACACCAAGCATGCCTTCTGTTCTATTGAAGATGCCTATGCTCAGGAAAGGGATGCCTTTGAGTCCCTCTTCCAGAGTTTTGAGACCTGGCGTCGGGGTGATGCTCTTTCGCGCTTGGATACTTTGGAAACTAACAAGAGGAAATCCCTACAGTTACTCACTAAAGATTCAGATAAAGTTAAGGAGTTTTTTGATAAGTTACAACATACTTTAGATCAAAAGAAGAATGAAATCCTGTCTGATTTTGAGACTATGAAGCTTGCAGTTATGCAAGCCTATGACCCAGAGATCAACAAACTCAACACCATTTTACAGGAACAACGAATGGCCTTTAACATTGCTGAGGCTTTCAAAGACGTGTCAGAACCCATTATATTTTTGCAACAGATGCAAGAATTCAGGGAGAAAATCAAAGTAATCAAGGAAACTCCTTTGCCACCCTCTAATTTGCCCACAAGCCCTGTAATGAAGAACTTTGATACCAGTCAGTGGGAGGACATAAAACTAGTAGATGTGGATAAACTTTCTTTGCCTCAAGACACTGGCACATTCATTAGCAAGATTCACTGGCGTTCTTGTCAGCTACTTGTGGTGGTGGTTCTGCTTGGCCTCCTCGTTTTCTTTGGTCCTACCATATTCCTGGAGTGGTCTTTGTTTGATGAACTAGCAATCTGGAAAGACTATCTTTCAAACTTTACTTCTTATCTGACTAAACCAGCTGATTTTTTAGAACAATCTGTTTTTTACTGGGAACAAATGACAGATGGGTTTTTCATTTTCAGTGAAAGAGTCAAGAATTTTAGTCTGGTGGTATTGAACAATGTGGCAGAATTTGTGTGCAAATATAAACTGTTATAAAGTCAACTATGGAGTTCTGTTTCTTGATAGGATTGTTAAAGAACACCAGTAATAATTAAGATTTTGTTCAGTTTCCAGTTCATTTTTTCTTTCAAAAGTATTCCTTTAAAAAATAATGCCTTTTACATGTTATTCAAATTAGGTAGTATAAAGACAAAAGTGAAATTTAGTAGTACAGTCCCAAACCTTTTAAAAGAGAGATTTAAAAATAAATAGCCTCCCTCTATGTTGGCTGTTTGTGCTGCGATAAAAATGGTACATAAAGGCACCTGTAGTCCCATTTTCTCAGGGGTCTGAGGTAGGAGGGTATCTTGAACCCAGGACTTTGAGACCAGCCTAGGCAACGAGTAAGTAAATAAAGGGAGTTGAGAACACATACTATCCTACACTGTGTCATTGAAGTAGGTACAGCCATAGTGATTCAGCAAACATGTGAAACTGGTAAAGCAACTTCTGACAGGGAGCATCCTAAAAAGGGAAAGACAATACGAGTACATTGGATTTCCAAGTGTGTTTAGAAGGGTGATTCCTTCCTTGTGAAAATGTAAATCTTTTAATTTTGTAAACATAATCTCTCCCTCCTTTTTCCTTTTTACAGGGTCTTGCTGTGTAGCCCATCCTGGCCTTGGACTCCTCAGTATCATGATTATAGGGAGCTTTGTTTTGTGAATTTTTCACCAAAGGTCATACAGCTGTTAAATGGCAGTACAAAGACATGGGTTTTAAAAAGATAAGCAGCACGTGGTAAGGGCAGGAAAGGAAAAGCCATCTTTTAACTGGCACCTAATTTGTGGTTGTCTTGTTCAAGAGTATCACAGCAGCTGTACAACAGACCCAGTTTACTTGTCTGCACAATTCCAGGTGTAGTAAGACAGGTCTGACAATAGCTGAGACTATCTGTTAGCACTTGTAAAGTATAGAGTAATAGCTGCATACTGATGCCACCCTATCTACTCATAGGAAAAAAGATGCTCACAGGGCCTGGGTGTGGTAGTGCATACCTTTGATCCTAGTTCAGCCTGATCTACATAGAGGTTTCCAGGCCAGCTGGGGCTACAGGAAGACCCTGTCTCCAAAACAAAAAAAAAAAGATGCTCATAGAACAAAATACTTATTTTTCCTACCTTGCTCAGAATTCAAATGAAAAGAAATAAACAAGCTTGGAACTGCTTTTTAGTCTCCCTTATTTCTATCATGGGAAAAAAAAAAAACATTCCTTTGAAAGTCTATTAAGGGAGTCAATGGTAAGGTCAGCAGGGACAAAGAGAAAAGGTGGCAACTACATTTTAAAGTATAGAACAAGTCTCTTCCTTCTACCTGTCATCTATGAGATGAGAACCTAAGCTCCTAGGTGAGGCTGCTATATTCTTAACTCATGATTTAGGTAGTAAGTTGCTAAGGGAGTTCTAAATCCCAGACAGCATTTCTCTATAAATCTTCTCTCTTTCTTGAGGGCTTGGTAAGTAAGTTGGGAAGGGAGAGTGCTTTTCTGCTTCCAGTGATTTTGTTTGCTTTGAATGCACATTTTTGTTACAGTTTCATGGAGAATACTTTTTAGTGCTAGAGACAGAACTAAGGCCTTCGTACATTAGTTAAGCACTCTATTCCTGAACTATACTCCCAATACAAGAATTTTTTTAAAGTGACATAGAATTTGATGTCCTTGGATATACTGACATTATTCAGTTTTCTTTCCTGCTTTTTCCTTTTTGTATACTGCAAGTTCCTAAGCAACTCAGATTTGCAAACATAGCTATAGATACATTCTTTGTCTTGACAATAGTCACCTGGGAGTTTAGGTCTGTTTTCTTAGTCTCACCTCCCTCTATTTTAGTCATAATATTTATGGTAACAGTTGACTTAAGAGGTTTTTCTGAGTCTGTGGCGGATGGTTTGTAGCCTCTAATTAGAAGCTAGGAAAGAATGAGTAGTCAGGAACTAGTCACATTGAATGTAGGAGGGAAGATATTCACGACACGGTGCTCTACCTTAAAGCAGTTTCCTGCCTCCAGGTTGGCATGCATGTTGGATGGCAAAGACCAAGATTTCAAGATGGTTGATGGCCAGATTTTTGTGGATCGAGATGGTGTTTTATTTAGTTTCATTTTAGAATTTTTGAGAACTCGTCAGCTTTTATTACCCTCTGATTTTCCAGACTATCTTAGGCTTCAGAGAGAAGCTCTTTTCTATGAAATTGATTCTCTGGTTGATCACTTAAGCCAATACCTGCTACAGTCAAGACCTGCTCTCTTGGAGGTACATTTCTTAAACCAAACTACTCAAGCCTTCTTCCGAGTGTTTGGCTCTTGCAGCAAAACAATTGAGATGCTAACTAGGAGGATTACAGTGTTCATAGAGCAACGTACAGCACCCACCCGGAGTAACTCTTTTGCTCCTCAGATGACTTTACTTCCACTGCCTCCACAAAGACCTTCCTACCATGACCTGGTTTTCCATTGTGGCTCAGATGGCACTATTGATAACCAAACTGGAGTCAGGTATTTTGAACTCTGAAGCATTTTTCTTCTGTTCCAGTTTCTGATGTTTTCTCTCAAACCTGAAAATTCTTTATGTCTAAAACTCTTCTTGGAACACAAAATGTTTATTCAGACTAATGTTTTGGGATAGCCAGTGGAGACAGAATAATTATTTTCTAAAGTTGGGCACTTCTCAGATTAAGAAGGTATTGTGGGATAGTTTACCTCTATATGTGGGGCTAGCCAGGAAAAAGAGGGACTGTGATCTCAAATTGGAAGAGAAAATACTTTTTAGATTATATTCCATTGCTAATGGAATTTGACTTATAAATGAATCATTTTTTTTCAAGAGATTGCTTTAATGGGTTACATAAGAAAAGGTTCAGTAGTCTCACTGATTGCCTCAACACTTCTCATTTGTTCTTTCAGGGCTACATTTGCTGATTTTTGTTAGTAGAGAAGAATATTTTAAAAATGCTTTAAGGGTAACTAGGTCTCATCGACAATTTAATGTTCTGTTAAATCCTTAGCTCTTTTACCCCTCAAAATGTTGGAATAGACTGTCAGTATGTTAATGATAACTACTTTTTTTTTTTTCTTTTGAATGTAGACAGGGTCTCACTATGCAGCCCTGGCTGACCAGGAAAACGTAGACCAGGCTGACCTTGAACCCAGAGATCTGAGTGCATCTGCCTCCTGAGTGCTGGGATTAAAGGTATTCACACCATGCCTGGCTGTGTTCATCTTATCTAGCATGCACTGGGCCCTGTAACACTGAAAATTTTTCCATTTCTCATTTTTTTTTTCATCCTTTTCTTGTGTCTTGAAATTCTTTTTCAAATTGGTCTCATTGGGAATCAATATAATAGTTATGGCTCAATGATTTATTGCAGGTACATTCTACTTTGTTACCACCTATTGGTATTTGTATCTTAATACTTTTTTGAAATATTCTGTAAGTTTCTAACAAATGTTTCTAGACTATATAATTAAAATTTGGGACTTGAGGGTAAATGAGGTGATTTACTACTGGTAAAAATTTGTATCCAACACAATAAACATTTTTTAGATGTGCTTTGTAGATTGGTAATTTTTAGATTTTACTATTTTTTTTCTATTTTTCTATTTTTTATTTTACTGTTGTTTTCTTTGCCAGTAATTAATATCTGAATGTGACTTACAATGACCCCTCTTTCAGTCATAACCTAAATTAAAAGGGACATTCTTAGACATCTTTTTATCCCCATAAAACTATAATAGTTTAGGTGTCTGCCTGGACTAATATAAGCCCTTTTTTACATATTAAAAATAATGGGAGGGCACAAAAATATCCTGGCTGGCAGATAAGGAGTTAGCATAGCATATGCAGATGTGTTATAAAAGCTAATATAGGCAGGTCTGACATTTTCTGGAATTGAATGCAGTGGCTGTGGCATGCTTAGGGAATAAAGGGCTCTCTATTTTCTCTTTTGACTTCCATGTTTTGCTCTTCAGTAACAGGCTATTGAAGAAAAACAGTAATATGGAGTCTTGACATTTTATACCTTCAAATTTTAGCCTAAAAAAACCTGGTATGACAGGAATAAATCACAAAAAAAGTCATAATATCAGTACGATGATTTGTAAATTAGATCTAGTGGAAAACTGTAAATGTGCAAAATGTTCCTGAAAATGATCAGTTGAATTTGGTAAAAGTAGAATTAAAAACAAAAACAAAAACAAAACAGACCCTGGAAATATATTATACTTTATGAAGAATTAAGCCAAGTTGTCTCTGATCAAGTTGTTTGCTCCAAAAAATAATCTCAATGAAAAGTCAACAGTGTTGGTTCTATTACTAATGTAACAGAAATGACTTCTGAAATCACAGCAAAGTCTCTGTTTTCAATACTCAAAAGTTACTGATTTGGATTTGAAATTAAGTTACAAAAAGAAAAAAATCTGTTACAAAATGTTATGGGAGTGCCGGGCACGCCTTTGATCCCAGCAATCTGGAGTCAGAGGCAGGCGGATCTCTGTGATCAAGGCCAGCCCGGTCTACATAGTGAGTTCCAGGACAGCTGGGTCTACAAGGAGACCCTGTCTCAAAAAGACCAAAAAAAAAAAAAAAAAAAAAAAAAAAAAAAAAAGTTACAGGAGCCAGGCATGGTGGCACACACTGTAATCCTAGCACTTAGGCTGAGGCAAAAGGATCATGAGTTTGAGGCCAGCCTGGGCTATACAGTGAGACTCTTGACACTGAAAACCAAAAAGGAAAAATAAAAAGGTATGATGTCTGAGGTCACAAATAAGTTTGTATCTATAATTTTGTTAGTTATTAGAGGAATGCTTTATAATTAAATACTTTTTTGTGTCTCAGGTATGTTTCCATAAAACCTGATAACCGAAAATTGGCCAATGGAACAAATATCCTGGGCTTACTGATTGACACTGTATTAAAGGAAGGCTTTCATCTGGTCAGCACTAGAACAGTGTCCACTGAAGACAGAAGTGAATGTTATACCTTTGAAAGGATAAGTCCTCAAGCCTTTGGGGTGAATAAAACACCAAAACTGGAGACCACCATCCTACCAGAGCAATCTCAGAATAAGAAATGAAGTTGTTTGTTCTCTTTCACAGTAAAGTGAAAAATTTCTTATTGGGAAATTCCGTATTTGGGGCATATATGTTACGGCTTTCTTTCTTGCCTCTGGGCAACCAGGTTCCAACAGTGCTACCACACTGTGCTCTTTTAAAATAACACTGCACTTGGTGCTCTGACACATGTTCTTCCACCTTCAATGCCTTTTCTTCACCTTCTCCATGAACATTTTCACAGCTTTCAAAAATGGGCTGTGGAGTTAGACTGCATATCATTTATTAGCTCTGTGTCTTAGGCAAGGCATTTAACATCTCTGTGGTTCAACTTCATCTATTAACAAGGGACAAAAAAAGGTATCTCCTTCATAGGCTATGTGGGAATGAAAGGGAACAACGTATTCAATATTACCTGGCACATGGTGGGTACTCAGTAATGTTGATGAGAATGATCATGGGTCACCTACTTTCAAACATTTCTTTTGTAGGGCCTTGTTCCTCCCTTTCCTCAATTATGGTAATCTTTCTTGTTTCTTTGCAGTACCAGGGTTCACCCGTGATGCATGCACAGTATGTGCTCTATGACAAACCTATGACCCCAGCAACTCAACCTTGAAGACTTACTATAAGAACCTTTTCTCAGGCTAGAGAGATGGCTCAGAGATTAAGAGCACTGGCTATTCTTGCAGAGAACTTGGGTTTGAGTCCCAGCACCCACATGAGCTAAAAACTGTAACTCCAGTCTCAAAGGACCTATTGCCCTCTTCTGAACCCTGTGGGCATTACATGACATGGGTGCATTTACATACATGCAGGCAATACACTCATACACCCACACAAAGAATCTTTTCTCACGTGAATATAAGTTCTTTGAACAGTGTTTAGTACTACTATATATAAAGTACTGGGCTAAACTCTTACGAATTGGTATCTGAATTGCCAAAAAGCTTTATAATAACCTCTACCAATACTTACAATACACATGTACTATGACTTAGTAGCTTCTCGTATTATTTTAAACACCAGGATAAACTGAAAGAGAAATCATTCAAGGGGTTCCTAGTGTTTGCTAAAGTTGTGTGAAAAGCTGTTGTGTAGAAGAATTTATTACTACTTAAAAGTATGTAACTCATTCAAGAACATCTTTTGAACATAGTAAATATTTTTTTTTTTTCCGGAGTTGAGGACCGAACCCAGGGCCTTACGCTTGTTAGGCAAGTGCTCTACTACTGAGCTAAATCCCCAACCCCTACACATAGTAAATTTCGAGGACTGGGGCTGGAGAGGTGGGTCAGTGGTTAAGAACACTGGCTGCTCTTGCAAAAGACCCAGGTTTGGTTCCCAGTACCCACATGGTGGCTAACAACCACCTATTAACTCCAGTTCCAGGTGATTCAATGCCTCTTCTGACTTCTGTGGGCATTGCATGACACAGATGCACTTGTATACTTGCAGGCAATACACTCATACATATAAAATTTAAAACAAAATATTTTTTAAAGAATTTTGGGGATTGGGCTGGAGAGATGGCTCAGCGGTTAAGAATGCTAACTGTTCTTGCAGAAGATTGGGGTTCGATTCCCAGCACCCACATGGCAGCTTACAACTGTCTGTAATTCCAGTTCCAGGGGGATCCAACAGCCTTTTCTGTCCTCAGGCATTGCACGACACAGGTGCACTTACAGACATGCAGGCATAACACTCATACACATAGAATAAAAATAATAAAATATTTTTAAAAAGAATTTTGGTTTTAAACATCAAGTAGGAAATATTCTGAAGCTGCATATACTCAAGTAAGGATGTGCATCACAGCAGCAAAATAATTAGAAATAAGCTCAAACTTCATCAATATGAATAGATAATACAATTATGTAGTCTTTAAAAAGTATGAGGTGGGGCTGACAAGAGAGTTCTGCAGATGGCTCTGCAGGTAAAGGTGCTTGCTGCTAAGCCTGACACGTGAGTTTGATCCCTAGACCCTACATGAAAGGAGAGAACTGACTCTTCAAAGTTGTCCTTTAACCTCCACATGTGCACCATGGCACATACTATACACACACAATAAATATTTGTAAAAAATAGAAAGCAGAAGTTTATAAGCTAAGGAAGAGGTGTCAGAATATAAGTGGGGGATAAACCTGGGTAGAAAACAATGTATAAAGTGGAATATATATATATATATATATGCAGTTTCTATTAATAGAAAAATATGTATACACATTTGATGCACTTGATGCATGGAATTTTCAGGAAAGGTGCAAGTCACTTCCGGAAAGGGAATTGAGTAAATGGAGTTTAGACATGGGAAGAAGACTTTTCACCAGACCATATGGGTGACTGTCTATTAAAATATATACAAAATACACTGGGCATGGTGGCAGATGTCTGCAGTCCCAGCACTTGGGAGGCTGACAGGAACAAAGATCCCACGTTTAAGGCCAGCCTGGGCTACAGAGTGATACTTGGTCTCAAGAAAAATGAATCAAACACACAACAATAACAAAAATTGAAAAGGAAGGAGCCATACTTGAATGGTGTATCTATGTAAGGGATTGTGGCCATTGTGGCAGAATAATATGTCCTCTTGTTTCTGACAGAAATTTTACTCTACCACCCTTCCTGTGAAACACTGCCACATAGTAAGAAAGGTAGAATTATCTAAAGCCAGGTGTGGTGGCACACGCCTTTAATCCAAGCACTTGGGAGGCAGAGGCAGGCAGATCTCTGTGAGTTCAAGGCCAGCCTGGTCTACAAAGTGATTTCCAGGCCAGCTGAAGCTTCAGGGAGACCCTGTCCTAACCCCTCCTCCCCCACAAAAGGTAGAAATATCTAGTCAAATTTCTATGTTCTAGTTTGTGGGGAAGAAAGAGCAAAGAAACTTTTCTAAGTACCTCAAAAAATTAGATACAAGGAAAAAAATGTAGGCTACTTTTAGTCATATTAAGGTCAGTAGCTGCTAACAGCGGTGCGAAAAGAAGCGCCCTACGAATGTTTTTGTGTTTTCTTTGGCAGCATTCATCCTCTCTTTTCCGCAGAAATGCCATCTTGTTTTAGTGTGTTTTAGTTTTGGAGGAAATGGTTTTCATCTATTTGTCTACACTCTAGAACACAATACTTTTACTCTGATAAATTTTTTTGCCATGCATGTGATTTAACTAGTTGGATATAACTGACATAATATGCAGTACTATTTAATTCTTTTAAGGACTATTTTTACTGAATTCTTTAAAATTTTTCAAGAAGTTTTTATTTTTATGTGTATGAATGTATTGCCTGCATGTATACAAGTGCACTGTGTCATGCAATGCCTGATAAGACCAGGAGAGGGTGTCAGATCCCCTGGAACTAGAGTTAGAGATAGTTGCTAGCCACCATGTGCATGCTGAGAACTGAACCCAGGTCCTCTGCAAGAGCAGCCGGTGCTCTTAACCACTGAGCCCTTTCTCTAGTCCCTAGTGTTTTGCTAAGACTATTAAAAATTGATAAATGGTCAGATGTGGTGAGAAGCTGAGGCTAGTGGATGCATTGAGGCCAGCCTAGTTTACATAGTAAGTTCAGGCCAGATGGGGTTACAAGGAGACCCTGTCTCAAAAAACAAAACAAAAAACCCCATTAACAACAACAAAATGATTAAAAAGTACTTAAGCAAACAAATATTGTAATTAAGTTTGGCTAGGAATAAAACGGGAAATGTTTAAACTGCTATTAATGTTTTCTTAGTCATTCATATTTGCAGGAAACAATTTTGAGATTAGAAATGTTTTGAATGAGAAATAATAGAAATGTAGCATCCATGGCAATATACAATATATCTAATAATCATTCATTCAATAAATATTTGTTGATAATCTACTTTGTGCTGAGTACTATTCTCAACATTCCCGAACCTTGCTACACAGAACAAAAACTTCTGCCCCTCTACAGCTACCATGACAATTCTTAATATCAACACTGGGTTAAAGTAAGCCTTTCAAATAATTTCTTCAAAGACATGGGTTGACAATACAGTAATTCTTAGGGAAGATTACCACAATTAAAAATAGATATTATTAATTAGGGAAAGTAATCTTTTAGAGTAAGAAGAGTTCATTTAATATTTTAGAGACTATCTCATCTGGAGACACATCTGCCAATATCATCTTAGTAAGCCTCTCATGTTCACTTCATAGCAGAGTGGGATACTGTGACTAGGATGTCTAGGCATGGCTTTGTTTCAGAAAGAGGCAGACAAAAATAGTTTCAAGAAAACAGGGATAGGTTAGATACACTACAGGCAAAGTTAATATTCTTGCCTATTTTAGAAAAAAAAAAGGAGGGGAGCTTTAGAAAAGTCTTCATATGGGCACTAACTCTTCCTGATGGAATTAATTTGCTTATTTTAAGTTATAAGAAAATAATGGCAGAAATCTATCTTGTGCAACCATGGTTGCACTACGTATGATCTAAAAGATCATAATTACCCATCATTCCATCTTATGAATATACTCAACATAATGGCCTGTCAAAGTTTGTCAGTCCTAGGGCTGGAGAGATGGCTCAGAGGTTAAGAGCACTGACTGCTCTTGCAGAGGACCTGAGTTTAGTTCCCAGCACCCACATGGTGGCTGACAACTGTCTATAACTCCAGCTCCAGGGGATCTGACACCCTTATCTGACCTCCACAGGCATAGTATGACAGGTGCACTTATATACATGCAGGTAATACACTCTAAAAATAATATTTTTCTTAAAAGTTTGTCAGTCCTGATGTACCACCAATAGCTGGGCCTCTTCTATTTTCCCATTTGCTATGATTGTTTCAGTTTCTATCACCCACAGTTTTATTATTGAACTGAAAAGGCATGGAAAAATTTTAACTTCTGATTCTTGAACCTCACTAACATAAAAATGACTGGAAATTCTACAAAGCTTTTTCTGGGGGCTAGGAAGACACTTGCTGCTCTTCCAGTGCACCCGGGTTCAGTTCCTCCCACTCAGGACAGGTGGCTCACAGCCACCTGTAACTCCAGCTCCCTCTTCTGACCTCCATGAGCAACCTCCCCTCCAATGCATATATTGACACATACATATGTAACTACAAAAATTAAAAATTGGAAAATTAGAAAAAGGTTTCTTAAAAGGTACAAGTAGTACTGAATTTTACTCAAGTTTAACATGTAAGCTATAATTACAAAGAGTTCTCATGACAAAGTAGGAACCTAATTTGGGCCACCTTTAAAATATATATGAAATCAAGAACTTAAAGTGGTATAAAAGCCACTTGAGAAATACACAGTTTATTGTTTCTAACTTTTCTTATATGCTATTTGCATCTAACAAACTTAAGCTTTGTTTCATAAGTTTTTTTTACTGATTATCATAAACAATCACATTTTTTTTGTTGTTTGTTTTTGAGACAGGGTCTCCCTGTAGCCCCAGCTGTTCTGGAACTCACTATGTAGACCAGGCTGGCCTTGAACTCACAGAGATCACCCGCCTCTGCCTCCCAAGTGCTGGGACTACAGGCGTGCGCCACCACGCCTGGCTAACAATCACATTATTAAAAATGTCTATCATATAACCCTAACGATTGTGCTAGGGTTTAAACAAACAAACAAACAAACAAAAGATTTGCTGAGAGCAGTTTAGGTGGAAAGTTTCACAAATTTATTACTTTTCTGTAGCCAAAGAAACCCTGAGACAGAAATGCAGTATT